AGTGTCTGAATGTTGATACTACAGCAGTTGTTAAGTGTGAAAAAGGGTCATTAGTCACATGATCAGTGCCATTGTAACTTTGAAGTCACCAAGCGAATGTTTGCAAGTCAAGGACTACTTGTAATTGACTTGGATTTTGTCTTTTAGTTGGGGTCTTTGAGTTTCTTTGTGTGTGTCGGTGTGTACGATTGTATATTACCTATTAGAAGAGTTTTTGTGGAACTTCAGCAGATGAATAACAAGCAGGAAGTCAAACTGTAAAAAGCCCTTTGATTCTCATCAAACCAATATTTTCCTTGTGTTGGTTTGGATTGGACGGGTTTGTCCTACAAACCTTGATTATTCTGGGCTTAGGCCGGACTAAATATGTGGTCCACTTCTTCTCTCTTATTTATGAACCACTGCTGATCAATGACAGCTTTTCTCCATCAAGAACTTCAAGAGGAAGGTGAAGACACTTGTTGACTTTCTTTTTACACAGTGCGAGGATACCTGCCAGGGACTCAAGAGATGAAAGGAAGACTGATGGACAGGAGTGTGGAGCAAGATCTGATTCGAGGGCTTAGTCAGAAGAAGCAAAACTTGCTCCTTGAGCTACAAAACTATGAAGAAAACTCAAAGGTAATTTACGCAAAGATGGAAAATCTAGAACCGATCTTGGCCTATAGGAGAGCAAGCAACTACAACTTCAGCAGTAAGACGGTAGAACAAGGGTCTTCAAACTTGGCAAGTTTAAGACTTGTGGACTTCAACTCCCAGAATTCCTGAGCTAACATGACTGGAGGAGGAATTCTGGGAGTTGAAGCCCACAAGTCTTCAAGCTGTTGAGTTTGAAGACCCCTGGAAGAGATAGATAGAGAAAGAGAGGTAGAATAGAGAGATAGAAAGAAAGATAGATAGAATAGAATAGATAGATGGAGGGAGAGAGATAGAAAGATAGGATAGATGGAACAGATATATAGAGAAAGAGGTAGAATAGATAGAAAGAAAGAGATAGGATAGATAGATAGAATAGATAGATAGAATAGATCGAGGGTCTTCAAACTTGGCAAGTTTAAGACTGGTGGACTTCAACTCCCAGAATTCTTGAGCTAACATGGAGGAGGAATTCTGGGAGTTGAACTTCACAAGTCTTCAAGCTGTCAAATTTGGAGATCCCTGCTCTACAAGTTCAGGACTTAAAACTCAACTTCTTACTTTATTTTGTCCTTATTCTATTTTGCTGGGGAAGAATTATGATTAAACAACAAGAGCAGAAATACGTTTTTCTCCTCTCTGTAAATTAGGAATATTGAGAGAAAGCAGCAATTGGCATTATGTCATAAGAAATTTCAGTGTCTTCGGTAGGTAACATTTTGTCAAGTTACTGCAATTACAGGTAGTCCTCAACTTACGACCACAATTGAGCTTAACATTTCTGTTATGTGAAACATTTGTTAAGTGAGTTTTGCCCCAGTTCTACGACCTTTCTTGCCACAGATGTTAAGTGAATCACAAGCAGTTGATAAGTTAGTATCCTGGTTGTTAAGTGAATCTGCTTCTCCACTGACTTTGCTCATCAGGAAGACACAAAAGGGGATTGCACAACCCGGGAACACAGCGACAGTCATAAATATAAACCAGTTGCCAAGCAGCTGAATTTTGATCACGTGATCACGAGGATGCTGCAGTGGTGGTAAGCGTGAAAAAACACACATCCAAAGTCACTTTTATCAGTGTCGTCGTAACTTTGAACGGTCACTCAATGAACTGTTGTAAGTTGAGGACTACCTGCAGTGGAGCCGATTGTTTGTCTTTCTATACACTGTCCAGTGTTTTGACCAAGGCCTGCATTTTGTTTTAAAGCAGGTGGAACTGAACACGCAGGTCAACGAGATGGATGGGCAAAGGGGTGTGATCCCGGCAAACACACAGCTCCAGACTGCGTTTTCTGTCAATCTGGGATCAGAAAACGAATCTGCTCATGTAGAACTCTGCATATCCACATCCAATGGTAAGTCAGGATTAGCAGCCAAAATGTGTTGGTACAGGCTCAGTACGTATCAGAGGTGGTCTTCAGCCGGTTCTGACCAGTTCTGGAGAACCGGTAGCGGAAATTTTGAGTAGTTGGGAGAACCAGCAAATACCGCCTCTGACTGGCCCCGGCCCCCTCTATTCTCTGCCTCCCATCGAGTCCCAGCTGATCGGCTGGGTCTCCTTTGGTTGCCCTGCCCAGGTGAACAGAGCTGGAAAGCAGGTTAATGGGGTGGGTAGGGAATGGGGATTTTGCAGTATCCTTCCCCTGCCATGCCCACCAAGCCACTCCCACCAAACCACAAAACCGGTAGTAAAAAAAATTGAATCCCACCACTGGGTACATATGTATAATTTTTTGGCTGTGAGCACCTGAGGAAGATGCTTTTTCGATCTGACTCGGACATTTCCACCTTTCACTGACCTCTTGGCCTGATCTTAAGAATCTGAGCATCTCACTGGGCCAGAGGAATGCACCTATGATGAGGTTGTTGTCAAGGTTCCAAGTAATACAGCCATAGCAAACAGAACCCCGAGACAGGTAGGTTCTTCAAGAATAGTTTTATTTGGATATGTCATATTGGCACAGATCTGGTGAAAACCAACTTTGAATGTTCCTGCGGTTTTCCACCTAATTAAAAGTAAAAGTTTTCCCCTTCCCCAAACAATGTCACATGGTCCAATCCAGGTGCTGTCCGATCGCTTGGTAACTTCACTCCTCCTCTCTTCAGCCACCTGTGGGAATGAACTTGGTTCCCAGCGGAAACTATTTTATTTTGGCTACAAAACTCCAGTTATCTCTACTCCCCCCTCATCTTCATTATGGCAACGTTGAAGCCTGAAAGATGGCCTCAGTTAGGCTAGCTTCAGAGTTGACAGTTGTTATGTATGAAGAATAAGGTAAAGGTTCCCCTTGCACATGCGTGGTAATCGTTTCCGGCTCTGGGGGGCGGTGCTCATCTCCGTTTCAAAGCCAAAGAGCCAGCGCTGTCCGAAGACGTCTCCGTGGTCATGTGGCCGGCAGGACTAAACGCTTTCGAAGGGGTACGGAACGCTGTTCCCTTCCCACCAAAGGGGTCCCTATTTTTCTACTTGCATTTTTAACATGCTTTCGAACTGCTAAGGTTGGCAGAAGCTGGGATAAGTAACGGGAGCTCACTCCATTACGCAATGCTAGGGATTCGAACCGCTGAGCTGCTGACCTTTCTGATCGACGATCTCAGCGTCTTAGCCACTGAGCCACCGTGTCCCCCTGTATGAAGAATAGTTGACACTTAAAGTTTAAGGTTTAGCATCTAAAGGCAACAGGTTAACCTGAGCAGATCCATGGGGCCTGAGACCCTAGAGAGTGTGGAGAGAAGAGCAACAAATATAATAGAGGGTTTGGAGGCTAAATTGTATGATGAACAGTTTAGGGAGCTAGGTATGTCTAGTCTAGCGAAGAGAATGATTATACTTGAGGGGCTGTCACAGAGAAGAGGGGATTCACTTACTCCCCAAGGCACCAGAGGGCAGGGCAGGGAGTCATGGGTGGAAGTTTATCAAAGAGAGATCCAACCTGGAATTAAGGACAAACTTTCTAACAGGGAGGACAATTAACCAGTGGAATAGCTTGTCTCCAGAAGTTGTGGGTGCTTCATCACTGGAGGTTTTCAAGAAGAGATTGGACAACCATTTGACCTGCATGATATAAAGTCTCCTTCCTTGAGCAGGGGGTGGGCCTAGAAGACCTCTGAGGTCCCCTTCCAGCTCTATGATTCTATGTTCATAGTAAACTTGAGGCCACAAGTGAAATATCTGTTCGATTGCTTTTGGTGGCGGCAGCAGTGATGGTTTTGGCTTCTTTTCTGTTCCGTCTGTCATCCTGGAGAATAGCTTTTAAACAGAATAGATGTCTTAATATTCTTAATCTTGCTTAACAACCGTAATGGGCGGGCTCCATCACGGTCATAGGTTGAGGACTAACCTCCATTAGAACCTTCAAAACTCACAAAAAGAGGGACTGTCTTTGTTTTCATTTAAGACACGATTATCCGGGCGGTGCTGATTTTTGCCGAAGGCATCTTTGAGAACGAGAGCCACGTGATCCACCCCACTCCTCAGAACCTCTCGAGCAGCATAAAAATCCCACTCTCCCCCCCGAAAGACGTCCCGGTGGAGCTGAACATCAAAGCCCTTGTTGGCTACAAGAAGAGGTGAGACGGCTTGGCAGGTTTCCCACCCGCTGCCTTTTCCCAACCCCTTTGATTGGACTCAAAGCCTTTTTTTTGCTCTTGGGCTTTTATTAGAGAAACAGGGACCCTCAATTATGTGGGAGAAGTCGGGAAAATCCCAATGCAGAGAGAAATATCTCCTATTGGATAAGCCCTCAGGCAGGTTTTTGAGTCAGCAAGCGCCAGCATTTTGCATTCAGCAAGATTTGCTTTTTTTTTAATGCTTTGAAGGAACGAATGCTGTATATCGGTTTATAGATATATATATATATATATATTTTGGTTCTTCTTCTGTTCAATCATGTCTGACTCTCAGAGGCTGCCTGGGCAGGTCCCTGCAGTTTTTCAGAAGTGGTTTGCCATTGGTTCCTTCCTAGGGCTGGAAGAAAGTGACAGGCCCATGGTTCCAGGGCTGACTTTGTGCCCAAAGGCTGGACTGGAACTCACGGCCTCCTGGTTCCTAGCTTGATGCCTTAACCACTATACCAGACTTGCCTTTCTAACATAAGCTAAACTTGTCTCAATAGATTTGGGCACGGAAGTAGTTTTCTAGTGCTTCTTTCCTCAGACAGAATGACTGTCCTAGGTCACCCAGTTGGCTTTGTGCCTAAGGCAGATCTAGAACTCCCAGTGTCCTGGTTTTTAACCTGATGCTTTCACCATTATACCAAACCTGCTCATTTATAGATATTGCAGAGCTAGAATCTTTAGACCAGTGGCCCCCAACCTTTTTTGTGCCACGGCCCGGTACCAGCATCACAAAAAGATCCGCGGCCCGGTACCGGCATCAGCACACATGGCAAGGCGAGCCGAGCGACCAGCCAGCCAGCCGTCCCCCGCTTCTCCCCGCCACCTTCAACTCCTCCTTTGTACCTTTGTCGATGGGCTTCGGGACGGTCGCTCAGCTCGCCTTGCCGTGGGTGCTTAAAGAATCCTCGCACCTTAGTTTTGTTCGAAGCTGCCCCCCCCCTTCGATGAAACTAAGGCGCGAGGATTCCTTCAGGACCCAAA